AAACTCTTCCCCTGTGTGCATCTAAGTAGAACCATTTCTGATGATCCTTCACTTGGATTGTGGGCTGACATTTCTTTGGATTCATATGTAGCTTTAAAAGACAAGAGAAGCAGAAGCAGTAGAGTAAAAAGACAGCATGAGCCTGTTTGCATGTTGAAAAATGGTGGTTCCAGTTTGCACATGCAAAAAAAAAAAATTTTTACAGAAAAAAAAAAAAGCATTAGCCTTACTGCTTATCCTTTTTGCTAGGGATGCTATTCAACACAGCCAGAAGTAGATGTATGATGATTGATGGATATTTGAGATCATCAGACATGAGCTCTATCTTCCATTAGCAGAGAGGATTTTTTTCCTCTTTAACAGCTGGGTAATAGCACAGTGTAGAGTCAGACAGATTGTCATATATCTTTGTGATGCAACCTTTCTGTAAGTCTTCTAAAAACCATGCCTGGGCGGACTGCTGAGGTAGGATGCTTTTTAGAGTTGAGAGCGCACCCTGCTTCTGTCTCTCTGGATGCTTTTCTTTGCTGCTTGTCATGTCGGCTTAGATTCAACAAACTGAGGGAACATTTGAAACATTGAACAGCATCAATATCCAGGATCCACCGAACATCCACTGTGTTTAACTTGGGGTGATTAAGGGTTCCCGTGATGCTTTAAAACGTCTGAAACAGTGTAGGGTACAATTTGTGAACGATGTTAAGAGTTTTCAGAATAAATGGCTTCTTCTAAAACATCAAACACAAAAGTGTATCGAAATTAGGGGTCTGCATTGTGATGCTCCAGAACCACATGCCCTCCCTGGGGCATTTTAAAAAATGTATAAAAATTGAAAAAGATGGATTTTTATTTTTGTTTATTTGTTTTAATACAGTGTGCAGGAGGTCAAACAAACATTATGTTTTGCAATGCTGTAAAAATTTGTATAATAAATGCATTTAAACAATGAATGTAACCATTTCTGTCAAAGTAGATTTGCTTCATACCCTGCGACACGTTTTCAGGGTGGCGCGGTGCCAGGCAGGTGGCTGTTGTAAATCATCCGGCGGTTCTGTCTTGGGCCATTAATCCCAAAGGGAAAAAAGGAAGCTAGCTGATGAGAACATAGGATAAAAAATAATAATAATTGACTGAATTATTTGCTTTCACTACCAATGCGGAAGGATTGCCTGCATGTTTGCTTTGTAATGAGAAGTTGTCAAAAAATAAAAAGCCATTTGGAAAAGGCATTTCCAAGGAAGGGAAGGCATGCTAAATATGCAGCCGACCACCAAGTTGGGAGTGAGAGAAAACATGCGCTTGCAGAACTTCTGGATAAATTAGAGGAGTTCAAAGATAGATTTGTCATGATTTTATCTAAGGCTTGGACCCACATGCAGTGAAGCCAAACGGAGAGACACAGAGTAAAAGTTCAACGGGTTTTATTGAAGAGTATTCTGAGTTCAGTGCAGAGTTCCTCCGAACTCTGCTCGGCTGGGAACTGGAAGACGAGGGGAAGACAGACTGTTAGATTCAGGCTCAGTGGGAAATTGGAGTTCTTAATCTTGAAGGAGAGGATTTTATGCCAATCACGTTTCCAGAGAAGAAGAGACACGTAGACTCCAGTCTGTGTGTTGGTCTTC